TTAAGTGCTGGGGATGGAACCCAGGGCCTTGTGCATGCTAGGCAGGCACTCTACCACTAGTTGCACACCCAGTGTTTCATTAATTTTTAAGAATAACATCAAGGATGAATGGATAAAGAAACTGTGAAACATATACACAATGTAATATTACTCAGCATTAAAAGAGAATAAAATTATGGTATTTGCAGGTAAGTGGATGGGGTTGGAGAACATTATGCTAAGTGAAATAAGCCAATCCTCAAAAACCAGGGGCTGAATGTTTTCTCTAATAAGTGGATGCTAATCCATAATGGGGGGGGATGGGATGAGTGGAGGAACTTTGGATGAGCTGAAGGAGGGGCAGGGGTAGGAAAGATGGTGGAATGAGATGGACATCATTACCCTAGGTACGTGTATGATTGTATGAATGGTGTGACTCTACTTCATGTACAACCAGAGAAGCGAAAAATTCTGCTCCATTTATGTACAGTGAATCAAAGAGCTTTCTATTGTCATGTAAAACTGATTAGAACTTAAAAAAAAAAAGAATAACATCAATGAGCTGGATGCAGTGGTACACATTTACAATCCTAGCAGCTTGGGAGGCTGAGGCAGGAGGATCATGAGTTCAAAGCCAGCCTCAGCAATTTAGGGAGGCCCTAAGCAACTCAGCAAGACCTTGTGTCTGAATAAAATACAAATAAAGGGCTGGGAATGTGGCTCAGTGTTTAAGTACTTCTGGATTCAATCCCCAGTCCAAAAAAAAAAGAATAACATCAATGATAACAGAATATTAAAATTTCAAAATGAGCTATCCAGCCATGAAAAGATGTGGGGCGGGGAGGAACTTGAATATATACTACCAAATGAAAGAAGCCAATTTGAAAAGGCAATATACTATATGTTTCCAACTGTATGATATTCTGGAAACCCATGGAGACAGGAAAAGAATCAGTGGTTGCCAGTGGATAGGTGGAGCACATAGGATTTTTAGGGCAGCTAAACTACTCTGTAGGATACTACAATGGTGGGTTCATGTCATTATATATCTGCCTAAATCCATAGAGTACACAGTGCCAAGAGTGGTAAATAGTGAACACTGGGTGATATGATCCATCTGTGTAGGTTCATCAAGTGTGTCTCTCTTGGGGGAATGCCAATGTTGGGGAGGCTCTTTGTTGGGGAGGGGATACATGGGAATTCTCTGTACTGTCTGCTGAGTTTTGTGGTGCTCTTAAGACTGCTCCAAAAAATAAAGTCTTTTTTTTTTTTTTTTTAATTTAGAGAACTTGAGGACTCTTAAGAGCACATATGGGAACTCTCAAGGGTCTAGGGACTCTAGTGTGAGAAACCATATTCTAGGAGATTGTGGTGTTGCAGCTGCTCAGATATATTTGCTCCAGCAGAGTTAAAGAATCCCCTCTGTTGCCCTGGTTGACAGTGTGGAAGTCCATTCTCCAGGCTCATGTTCTCCATCCTAAGCAACTGACACATCTAGGCAAACTGTGTCCTTGGAGAGGTCTGCACTGGCCAGGCCCTTGTTGGCCTCATTCTGACTGGTCTGATTAAAAACTCAGGTGAAAACAATTTAATGGAACATTTTGATCTCATTAAAAAGCAAGAGAAGCACATCTCTGAAATACACTCTCATAAAGCCCAGCCTTGTGGACAGACGTGTGTACCCTGCTTCCACCTATCAGGAAGGGATTGGGATTTATAAAGGGGCATTTCGTTTCTTAGTGACAAAGCCTTTTCAGTCCTAGGGATATTACAATACTGAAAAACCCTCTGCACCCGATGGTCTAGCTGCAGTTACTGAAGGCCATAAATGTCAGTGACCAGCCTTTGTCTTGAAGAGATTAGCTTTGGGGAGTTGCTGGGAGAGAAGAAATGGAAAAAGAACAGATGTTGTTCCATATGTATGAGAAGACACAGATTGGAGAAGAGGGAGAATCAGGGCAGGCTGGAACGTCAAGCAGAAAATCGAGGAGGGTCTTGCTGCAGAGGGTTGTCTCTGTTAGGCCAGGAATGCCAGTGGGGCTCCTTTCAGTCCGGGTCTCTCTCCCAGAAACAGGAGAGTATGCCTGGGTTCCTCTTCAGGCGGTTCTTAGCAGTAGCTGGGTTTTTTTTTTTTTGTTTGTTTGTTTTGTTTTAAACCACTTCACGAAGAGCTTTCCTAATTATCCTGAGAGATTGGTGTTGCTTACTTGTGGGGGTGGGTGGGGTCTGTCTCAGCATTTTAACAGGGCATTGCATCTCTGATTTCTGGAGAGGGGAGGTCTATGACTGACCCATGATCATGTAGTGCTGGTAGAAGGACAAGAAAGGGTCCAGACTTTTGGCTCTAATCCCTGCACCTTGCACAGCTCCAGAGCTGCTCTAGGGCCACGTCCTCTTCCACCATTCAGTCTTTCAGCAAATACTCATGCACAGCAATGGTGTCAGGCACTGTTCTGCCATTTGGGTTACATCCATGAATAAAAACAAAGGTCTGTGTTCGTATAGAGCTTACGGTGCCAGGTGCCTGTAGAGCCATGTTCATATAGATTTGGGATGGGGATGGGGCAGAAATAGACAATAAATATAGTAAACAACTAAGTAATAAAGTGTGTTTGAAGGTGGGAAGTGCTGTGGGAGAAAAGTCATTCTGGATTTGAGGGGTCATAATTTAGTGGGACGAAGGAGAGCAGATTGTGGCTGTGTACAGAGAGGTCAAGGCAATGGAGATAGTATCAGCAAGACTTTAGGGGGTCTTGTGAAGGCTGAAGGAAGAGATGCACATAGTACCATCCCAGAGCCTGGCTTGTGGGTGTTCGAAGCTGCTTACTGTGGTGGCTGTGGTTATCACACCAGAGCTGTCTCCCTCACTAGACTGCCCAGTGTCTTCCTAGAGCCTCTGGGCCAATGCTCTGGCCCTAATGGACAGGCAGTTTAAGTTACAGACAGGTTAGACATCAGGGACAGGGTCTGGCCTGGCCTAGAGTGTGGTGGTGCTACTCATCCAAGCTCTGTGCAGCCCCCATATCTGCTTTGTGTGATGTGTCCACAGGGTGACTGGGAGCTATGTCTGCTGGGTGATGGTCAAAATGGAAGTTGGAATAGAATACGCTGAGAGAAGAGTCAATGTAGACTCCTTAAGTCTGGGAGCCCTAGTTTTCCTGGTACCATATTGCTAGGCAAAGTGGAAAACAGAGGACAGTCATCCAGGGCTGGGCCACTGCTGGGTCTGTTGCCTGTTTTGCAGAAGAGGTCTTACTTGTAGGTAGAAGAAATGACTCTGTGTGGATTGCTTAAAGGAAAGTCCAGAAGGCATCCTTGCCCCTGTCTCAATGCCTGCAGTTCCACCTTTAGCATCTCCTGCATTCAAAACTCTGGCATTTTAACTTTTTTGGTGTGTGAAACTTTTGGTGTGGTCCAAAAAAAAAATTAACTTAGAAACATAAACATGTAAAAGAGATTTGAATTTTTTTAATTTGTTCTTTTTAGATATACTGACAGGAGAGTATATTTTGACATACATATGTAAAAGAAATTTGAAAATAAATGTTACTCCATTAAAAGGATAACTCTCTATTCCCATTCTTTGGGGGCAGTCTTTCTAAACCCTTGGAGCATAATTTGAAAATCACTGCTTTAACAAGTATTTCAGTTACCTTGTTAAAATGTGAACACTCTTGATTTTGTAAAATATTAGGCTATTTTAAAATTACTAATCCACTATGGCACATTTTGCTCTGTGTGTGTGTGTGTGTGTGTGTGTGTGTGTGTGTAGGGAAGAGGGAGATAACAGTCTTCTTAGAGGATATAATGAAAACTATGGACCTGCTGTCCATATATATACATGCCTAAAACTCTGCATCCTGTTGTATGGGGGAAGTGGTTTGTGGACCATAAGTTAAGAATCTGGTTTTATAAGAAGTTTGTCTATTGGATTTACTTCCAAATGGAATATAAGCTTGAGCCATATAAAACTGAGTTTCAGTGAGGGAGTAAGGGAAGAAGATGTAGAGGAGAATCAGAGTTTTGAGGGTAGAGCCAAGGAATGTGTGCTTTTAACATGATCTCCAGGCAGTTCTGATGATCAGACAGATCATCAGTCAACATCATCAGAGGGCTGGAGTTGGTATGTCAGGCCATAGGACCCAGGGGACATAGCTCTAGGCCAGCAGTTCTCAGAGGGTGAGGAGGAGGGAGGGAGACTGCAGGGAGCTGGCTGCCCACAGGCTGGGCTGTGGTCTGACCAGCTGAAGAACAATAGGAAAGGTCTTCCTCCTGCCCCTTCCCTTCACAATGGACAAGTCAGGTCAGGTCGCTGTGCCTCAGAGTGTGTACCCAATCCCAAGTTGGGACCTACTAATGCAAAAAAGAACAAAGAACAGGAGTTTGGGAAACTCTTATAGGACTGTTTGGATTGTTTGAAAGTCTTACCTGGGGGACTGATGTTTCATACTCTGACATTTCTCTGCAATTTTCATGTTCCCAGTGCCAAGTGGATCGCATTCCTACTTTGCAACAAAGGCTGGTCTCTCCCCGGCAGTGGGGGGACTCTGGGGAGAATGCCAAAAATAACAAAGAAGCACTTGCTACTGAGTCAGCTACTACCTATTGACCTGCTGTCCCCGGCTCAGTGGCATTTGTCCCTACCTCCATATTCTTCCAGAAGGATCTTCTGGCAAGGGACTGTGAGAGAAGAAGGGAGATGAGACTGAGGATAGGAGCTGGAGGTGCCTTCCCCAGCTCCCCAGGCCTCTAGTCACAGTTGGCTCTTGTCAAAACCTGGGTTTATTTAAGAACCTGTTTCTTGAACACCCAGCCAAGACAAACCCAAGCCAGTGTCGACCTGCTTCTCTGGGTGGTTGTGACTGTATGCAGCCATGGTTCTGTGGTTTGAAGACTCAGAGTGGGTGACACCTGTCTGGCTCTGGATTCTCCCTGGGGGATAGTAGAAACAGAATCACCCCTCCTCTGCCAAGTCTCTGGGTGGCTACTCTGAGCCCTGTTAATGTTTTAAAAGCATTTCCATCCTTTTCGGGTCATGAGCAAGATGACCGGGTGCTCACACTGTTGTGTGGGATGCGCTTCCCTCTGAGCCTTGTTACCACATGGCATATTACCTGCCTGACGTGAAAAAAAGTGTTTCCATTCCTTAAAATTGTATGTTAAGATTTGTGCATTTCAATGTATCTCAACTTTACCTGAGAAGAAAAATGAGAACTACTTAAGATAAAATTAAATTATATTGTATTTTAAATAATAATTATTTAAAATACTTTCAAGGGAGGAGAGTGAGTATGAATTAATGGGGAGTCTGTAAAGTGGATGAAATAAGAACAGAAATGGGTAAGTATTAATGCTGGGTGATGTGTCCGTGGGGCTTATTATGCTATTTTGTTTTTTAAAAAATATGTATTTGAAATTCACCATAATAAAAAGTTATATCCCTAAAGACTTAGGGATGTCTGTTTTCTCTTATAAATCCCCCTTCCTGACCAAGAGTCTTAAAGAAACTCATACTTTAAAACCCAGTAATTCCATTTCTGGGATTCTATCCAAAGGAAACAATCACAGACACAGAGGGAGTGTCACTGGAGTACAATTTAAAATAAGGAAAACTGAGTGTTCATCAATAGGAGAATGGTTTAAAAAAGAAAAGAAAAAAAAAAAAAAAACTATGGTGCAACCATTAAAGACATGGGAAAGTGTATTGTGGGTTTTTGTTTTGTTTGGTTCGTACTGGGGATTGAACCTAGGGGTGCTTTACCACTGAGCCACATCCCCAGCCCTGTTAATTTTTTTATTTTGAGACAGGGTCTTTCTAAGTTCTCGAACTGGCCTTGAACTTGCAATCCCCCTGCCTTGGCCTCCTGACTAACTTGGATTACAGGTGTGCACCACCTCTCTGAGCTCTCATTTAATTTTAAACCTAAAAATAAATGAGAAAGAATCAGAATAAAAAAACTATATGCCATATGATCTTTACTTTGTATTTATTTATTTATTTATTTATGATGGTAGAGATCAAACCCAGGGTCTTGTACATGCCAATCACATGCTCTACCACTGAGCTACATCCCCAGCCTTTCAATTTGTTTTTAAGGAGGCACATGCAAGGTTGGAGTGGTAGCTCATTGGTAGAACACTTGCCTAGCACATGCAGGGCCCTGGGTTCCATCCCCAGCACTGCAAAAAAATATATATATATTAAAATACATCTGTACAGAGAAATAATCAAGATCTTAAAAGTAGTTATCTGAGGCAGTCCCTCACCCAGCACACAATACACATTTATGAGGAACCTGGCATTAAAACATTGGAAAAGCCGGGCACAGTGGCGCATGCCTGTAATCCCAGTGGCTTTGGAGGCTGAGGCAGGAGGATTGCGGGTTCAAACCAGCCTCAGCAACAGCAAGGCACTAAGCAACTCAGTGAGACCCTGTCTCTAAATAAAATACAAAAAAGGGCTGGGGATGTGCCTCAGTGGTTAAGTGCCCCGAGGTTAAATCCCTCGTACCAAAACAACAACAACAACAAAAAAAATCACATCATTGGAGATGACCTACTTCTGGGTCAGGGTTACTTTCCTCCCTGCTACTTACTACATAAAATTCAATCCTCAGGGTTGTGTTTGTGTCTCAGTGGTTGAGCACTCGCCTAGCACAAGGTTCAAAATTCATTTTTTGCCTTCACATTCCACATTGCCTTGGGCTTGAGTCTTTAACCCTTGGGCCTTGTTTGCCAAAAAAAAAAAAAAAAAAATATATATATATATATATATATATATATATACACACACACACACACACACACACACACACACACACATGCTTGGCTTTCCTTGTAATATTTCTAGCAGTTTGAGAGCCAGAATTTAATCCCAGACACACTCTGTGAGAGTAAAACAGGCCTATGCTGGCTGTTTTCAAATACCAGCACACTTGAACAAAGACCCTGATGACTTGGGTCCAATAACCTGGGTCCAATCCTGGCTTGGCAATCCCATGACTATGTGACCTTGAGCAAGTGATTTCATTTCTCAAGGTCTCAGCTTTCTTATCTATAAAATTGTAAAATAAGGAGCTGGAGTGTAACCCAGAGTAGAGTGCTTGCCTAGTACATGTGAGGCCCTGGATTCAATGCCCAGCAAAACACACACACACACACACACACACACACACACATAGTACAATAATAGTATTTATCTCATTGATTTGTTTTGAAAATTAAAAAACCTGTTGTGCTAAGTGCTTGACCTATCTCATCTTAATTATGCTTACAGCTAATCTAGTGCACATGGAGAAAAAGACAACCCTGTCTAGGCAGGTGCAATCCCACAGTGAGGCACACCACAACCTGGACTTATGCCCTGAGCTAGGAAACCTTGGGAATAGCCCTTACAACTGTGTACAGCAGTTCTGCCTATGGAGCAGGTATTTGTATATTTCTTTTTTCCCAAGAAGCAACTGTGGCTTAGAGAAGTTGAGCACATGTAATGGTAATAGGGTAGCGGGGTCACTTCTAACTTTCCTGTTTACTTAGGACACACCAAAAAGGCATCCCCAGTCCTTATGGCCATCCACCACCTCTATTGTGGACCATAAGACTTTGTCACCAGCTCACTAGTTTAAACCTCATCCATCCACAGTGATGGCAATCAAATCCTCTCTAGCATCTAACTCTTATAGATTACTGTCAATCTCTACTCTCTTCTCTATTACTCTGATAATCATTTTTTTTAAACTAAGGCATGTTATTTTGAAATAATTGGGGTGGTAGAAAGAAGGACAGAATTCCATTTACGTATCATCCTGACTTGGCAGTTTTATTTTTCCATGGTCCATTTAATACCTAGATAGGAAGGATTAAAAATATTGTGGGTCTGAATAATTCTTCTGAAGCTGTAAGATCAGTGTTACCAACAGATAGCTCAGTATTAGGCAGAGCAGATTCCAACTTCAGGATCTTTTCCTCCTCTTTATTAGGTGCCCATGAGTTTTACGTGGCTAGATGATGCTAGAGGAGTATGGATTAACTAAAGGTTCCCACCTTTCATTTTTAAATCCTTCTATTATTTCTCTGATGAACAGGCAGCACCCACTGCCTGCTGTGTCTCACACTGGGATTTGGACATGTGTCATTCTACTTGTGCACAGTGGGGAAGAAGTTACTGTGTGCTATATATGCATGAATCTGTGCAGTATGCTGATTGTTTTCTTTCAAAGGTGGATCACTGGGTAAATTGAGGTACTGTCAAGGAATTGATTTGTTCATAGAACACTGAATATAACTGCAGAAGCTTTCCAGTTATTCCCTGATTGAATGTAAGTTTCTGTTTTAAATGGTACGATTTCAAAGCATAGTTCAGGTTTGAAACAGCTGCAGCAAGCCAGCAACCTTGGATGGTGTGCACATCCCCAAGTGGCATAAAAAAATTAGCACACATTGAAATGGAAATTTTCTAAGTCTCAGAACCACCATTTCCCCAGCAAACCTCCCACCCAAGTGGCACCCAAATGACACCAAATGAAAGCCAATGAAAAGGAATGAACTTGGCCCATGCACCTTCAAAGGCCTAACTCAGTGCAGTTAGAGTGAACTAAAATTATTAGTTCAAGGTTAGATATTCTAACACCAATTCTCAGGTCTCAGAAGCCAGCCTAGCCTTGCTGCTGGCAGATAACCAACAGAGTCATATTTAATGTTTTAGACATGACTGTTAAATTTGGCCCAGTGTGAGTTTGTGTTTGATCAGACCTATGAAAGTGGAGAAGGATTCCTGTTGGGAGGTCTGGGTTCTAGCCCAGGGACTTATAGGCTGTGTGACGCTGGACAAGCTAATCACCCATCAAGAGCCGTTTTTCTCGAAGGAGTCAAACCCTGTTCTGCTTGCCTTTTGGGAGGTGTGAAGATCAGATAGGATGGTGTTTGGGAACTATGAAAGCACTATAAACAACCAGGACAATTATGTTCTCGGACAGAACACCAAATTCTTTCTGCCTTCACTTAATTGTCCATTCAACTTACATACTGTGAGTTTTACCTATTCCTCATTCTTGCAGCAAGACCCTTTGAAAGTATTGTTAGAACTAGAATCAATATCTGTTTAGTTCCCCCTTTTAACCTTCACATCCTCTGAGATGAGGAACGTACAGAAATTAAGAGGAAAAAGGAGTTGGGAGCCCAAAGGTACAAAGCATTCCCATCCTGATGTCCTGTCTTTCTTCTGTTACAGCAACATCTAAATCCAAAGCCAGCTGGGTATGGTGGTACACCACTGTAATCCCAGAGATTTGGGAGTTTGAGGCAAGAGGATCACAAGTTCAAGTTCAGCCTCAACAGTTTAGCGAGACCTATCTTGAAATGAAAAATGTAAAGGGCTTGGGATGTGGCTCAGTGGTAAAGTGCACCTGGGTTCAATCCTCAGTACCAAAATATACATGCATACATATATAAATACATACATAAATTCAAAACCAAAGATTCTGGTTGAATGTTAGGCCCCAGTTCTTCCTGTACCCCTCCTCTGGTCCCCAATCTCCTGAGTTCACCTCAAAGGTCAATTAGTTCATGTGTTGCTGTCCCAAGCCACTGAACACAGCTCAGAATTCTACATATTAGCCATACAGTATGTATTTGGTGAATATTTATAAGACAGGAAAATAAAAATGGAGGCTGAAATTGTTTTTTCCTCATCCTAAGGTTCTGCCAACACAAAATGAGAAACAAAACATCTGAGATGCCACTGCTTATGAGGCAAACCACTTTTTATGTGTCGAAAAAAAAAAAAAAAAAAAAGGAAAGACTCTATCCATTAAAATATGACAGTGCTTCCTTACTGTATCTATTATAAGACACACTTTGATTTCATAGATGTAAAATGTGAAAAAAAATGTTAATCGTAGAACAGAAGAAATGCAATATTTCTTCTGTTTGGACCTGATACAATAGATTAGAAAACTTCAAACCATCTCTCTTTTTTTAATATTTATTTTTTATATGTAGATGGACACAACACAATGCCTTTATTTTTATGTGGCGCTGAGGATCGAACCCGGGTCCCGCCCGTGCTGGGTGAGAGCTCTACCACTGAGCCACAATCCCAGCCCAAACCATCTCAATTTTTGTCT